TGCCGTTCCTTTAATCTGACGCTTTTACAGACGTAGCTTAACAGCATCGACTGGCCTTTTCATCGAACGACGGATGAAGTAACTTCTCTGCTAGGTCACCCGCGATTACTTTGACCTTCTCACGTTCTGAAAGAGCGACAGTCCATGGCACATGTCTTCATTATTACTCAGATACGCAGACAAACCAGAGGAGATGCTGTGGTTACATCACAGCCCGCAAGAAACAAAAGACAGAGGAATGCAGGGGGACTGCACTGGGTTGCAACACACAAAAGAAGGAGATATTCATTTACCAAAACCATTCCACGCCTCCTGTATTGAGCCATCAACCTGAGGCTATTCCCATCCTCGCGTCAGACTCTCATTTGTCTTTGCCGGTGCGTCAGAGAGTTAGTTCCCGTGGAATCTACGCAGGCGTGGAGATTCAGACTCAGGTTTGGAGTACAAAAATTTTGTTCCGAATACCTGAAGGGCCTTGATGTTCATTTATTAATGATGCAAATCTTGTAGAGGACAACTCTGAAATGTAGCAACCACTTCTCTTATTTGTTCTGTTCTTAATGTCAGACAACGTGTTTCGATTAGAATTTTCATCGCCTTACTTTTAACTGAAATGTAATTTCTGTAAACAGATCGTGCACTCTTGAGCTGCAAACATATGAACCGACTATTTGAGAATTAATTCGAAAGTGCCGCGTATTTTTGGCGGAAGCGTCTACCATCTAGCGGACGATAATCGAAGACAAGTGCTACGTCAGAGGCATTACACCGCCACGTAGTGGCCAGAATTGAAACTTGTAATTTCAAGAAATCGTTGAATGCAGTACAGTCCATGGAAAATATCAAGAGACATGTTAAAATCGTCGTGCATAATGTGAACTACTAATTTTCAAACACTCAGAAAGATTTTGTTATTACAGCTGCAAGTGTTTCGCCTGCAAACAAATTAATGTCTGTACTGCACTATTTTATTTATTCGCGGGGTGGTTAAATGAACCACGTTTTCAATTTACGAGATTAAATAACGTCGGATAATAGAATCAGGAGTGCCAACTATTCGGCCCCAACGTTCCCTCGTACTAGTTGATAATACGCGTCTACGCAGAGCCACCGTAAAACTAATAGAACCTAATAGTAATAAAGACATTTCTCATTTCCCCATGCGTGCTACATGCCTGACCACCTCGTGCTCCTTGATTTCATCCCCCTAATAGCACTTGGGAAGGAACACAAATTGTGAATTATCACTACTGAAATTAGATACAAAATCAAGCAGATGGAAATGAGGGAAAGTCCATTTGTTTCAGTGCTGCCAACATCGCTCTGGTACTGCCGAGACCCACGTGTCTGCCTCCTCTGGCCCGGTGTCTTCGTCACCCCGATTTCTTTCCTAGAGAATAAATCACTCTCGCGTCTGACTAAATCACGATTGATGACGAAGGTGATCGATCAACCACGAAATAAAATCGCGCGAGACGGAAGGTGTTCGCGTTTTCATTACCAGTCGACCGAACGTCTGCTGAATGGCAGGCAAATTCCTGCACAAGTGGCACTCCATTAGATAGGCGCGCCATGTAGCACGCAAGGAGGAATGAGACATTTATGCAGAAATTTTGGTTGCAAAACCTGATGGGAAGACCTAGGCGTAGATAGGAAGATAGTATTAAAATGAATTGTCATAAAACAGGGGGTGGCCTGGCGGTGGGGGGTCTTGTGGGAAAAGTGATGAACATTCGCGTTCCAGGGAGAATAAACTGACTAACTTAGCGACTGGCAGGTTCTCGACATGGACTTTGCTGCATGTTGTTAGAACCCATGCTTTGTCCGGTTGGTTCCGTATGACAAGTAATCTAAGCGTGTTGAAGAGAGTTGTCATTCACTGCCACAGTTGATATAGGACACTGCTCTTATGACCCCAAGAAACACTAACCGAATAAATTTCGAACATTTTTTGGAAGTCTCTGCGACATCCGTAAAAGCCGAATATTCAGACAGAGAAATTCGTAAAATTACTTAACGCGGTGTTAATCGATCTAAGGCCCTGATTCTGTATCGATCTGTACCAAAAAAGAATATAAGAAATCCATGTCTGCCAAAGAGAATTCTCGCGCAGTTTGCAAAACTCTTGGCAACATTTTACGTTCACTGCGATTAAGTTTCATAAACCGGCGACCCAGGACCCGTTATGCAAGCCAACTTAAAAAGAAAACCACGATACAGTAATCACCTTTGAACATGGACGTAAACTGAAGATATAAATGCTTATCTAGAACACACGAAAGAAATGTGGGCCAGTGTGTTATTGCGCGATAACAGAACGGAACAACCTACAGGCAGGCACATCAGGCCTTATCTTTATGAATTTTTCTCCAGTTCTTTGAGTGGTCCTCTCTGACCGACATAAATGGCGTTAGGGGACATCATTGACTCTCGGAAAGGCAACGTAGTCTTTGTGTTCAACAGTTGGACAAAATTATTAAAGGCGGTGAATCCTGAGATCCACCACGACTCCCGCGAATCCAAATTGTTTTTAGAGAATAATATTGTCCCAGGAGAGTGAGCCATCTGGCGAGTGGCACCGACATTGAAAGTCACTGTTTTAACACTTCTGCCATCTGTTGGTAGCCCTCCATACTATCGCGTACCTCCTGTTTCAAAATGCTCTAGCCTATTTGCCATGTATGTGATGATATTTTATAGGCCTACTCGTTATCTAAGATAAGATTCATCCCAGCGTTTGATCCACGTGTCTTGAAATAGACCACAAGCGACCACTTTCAAGTTCTTGTACTTTTCCGATCGAGCCGCGCAAAGAACGCTGGACACTGAAATCTGGACGACGAAATTGTAGGTCGTGATGCCGTGTAGTGTTCTAGGTTATTTATGTAGTCGGGGCGAATCTGCGAGTCTGCGGACCGTTCGAAGTAAAACAAAGGAATCAGTGGGGTGGGAGGGGTAGCAGATAAGGAAGCATGTACAGTTCACACCATAAACATTGTCTGCGCGATGGTTCCTCAGTCTCACGTATGCATAAATGTTTCCTTCGACACGGAAGAGTTTTCTGTTTGCTTGAGACGTAATTCTTAAATGGTTACGAACAAATTAGCGACTTCTGTTAATTGATGTTAATTGTAAAGTGAGGGTGGTCACGTGTTGAGGAAAACTACGCCCGCTCATTTGTGGTCATCAGGAAAGTTACAAGAAGAAATTTGGCAACATTCATGGGATCCGAAGGTCCATTACCTATTCGCAAGAGACCAGGCCCTGTCCAAATGTAGTGCAGATCCACTCCTAGGTTTTCTATGTGGTCTATTTCTTCGATGTTTTCCGCTCCAAATGTCTCATCTCTCCAATGCGTGCTACAGTTTAAGCCCATCCCTCTTTCTTAATTTGATAACCCTAATAACGGCAAATTAATATTAATGATGCTCTAATTGAACCATGAAACATAGTGGAGTGTGGAATAGATATCTTTCATTTAGTCTACTGTGGTAACACGTGATGCTAACAGCCTCCATTTTAGAATGCCTAAGATTAGATTTTTTAAAATCAATTTAAAAAAGGACACAGACGCTGAGATGGACAGTAAATCTGAGCAAATGACTGGTGGATGTTTTCAGAACGCAGGGGCAGAGCACCACGTACCTGTTCAGAGAAAATGCTTCGCCCCCTCCCTCCCTCCTTTTCTCCGCAATTTTGTATGGCTGGTTGTAGATATACACTCTCAAGGGGGCTATACCATACGGCGAACGTAACCACAAACTCTTTTTTTACTTTACTTTGCTTTTCAAGCATCCTTTCAGCAAGGTGCATGTATATGGAATTACAGACCTCATAGCCTATTGATCTTACAGTCCCAATGGACCACTTCATCTCGCATTCTCGACTAGTTAAAAACCTAAAAGAATATACAAGAGGTGGGAACATGTTTCAAATAGACCTGAGTGTTTCAAGGAAGGACTTAATTTCGTTTAAAACAGAGGCCGCCCTCTTCTGTAAACTGGATATATAATGCGGTTCACACCTATCACTACAAGGACCTGACGTAACTCACAAGTTACTTACATATGCAGAGGAAACTCACTTGTATTCAACGCGATTTAAGAACTAAGTTGCGAGCTGCAGCCTACGGCTAAGTAAAAAGTACTTAGACCATAACTAAGGTCGTATTACCCGTCAGTATTGACGGGAATTACCTTCTTTCGTGTTGGGAATACATACAATCTTTATTAAATTATTTTATTTAGTGTTCTGTCTGACGACAGGTCCATATGAACAGGATCCTTCCATCCTTTTCTCGGACTGGGACCTGTTCATATACGTTCTTGGCAGATGATCCAGAAGTGGTTTGCCATTGCCTTCTTCTGTGTGTGAATGGAGTAATTGTTGGGATGCCACGGAGGAAAACTCCGTGTTGCCTAGACCACGGCCTTGCCCAACACAAGTTATAAATTCGGGCACCGCCGGGAATCGAACCCGAGACCCCAGGCTTACAAGGCCAGCGTTCTAACCGCTAGACCACCGTAATTCAAAGTGCAGAATTTATAGAATGTCTTTATAAAGCAAATTAAATATGAAATCTTCGCGGCGGATGACCCATATTCTTGTCAGACGCACCAACACAAAAGCAGACCAACGCCAAACGAAAACCCCGCCATACCTCACCGTAGGCGCCAACCAAAGTCAAGTTCGCGTTTGTTGAAATATGTTTTCTTGCAGAAATTATTTAAATACAGCGCAAGCTGCAGAACGTAACTGAGATAAAACGAGCCTTTTCTTAGAGACAAGGAGGCGATTTCAGTGAGTCCGAAACACCGAGTTCAGAAACTAAGCTAACCTAACCTAACCTCTCTGCCAAGAGTAGAACCCGGGCCACGGCTCGCTTTTATTCGTGATGCTGACGTCACAGGTGACACGGCGTTAAACCGAATTTGCAGTAAACCCCACTTTACCTCCAGGTGTGGGTACGCAAATTTTAAGACGTACATCCAAAATGTGGTTAATCCGAATAAACGTTTATTTAAAGTGCACCATTTACAAAACGTAAAACTTGTTACGCGGTCATGATAACGTATTACCAATTCCCTGTGGACGTACTGACTTGTTTCGCAGGCTGTACATTGCCACCCTCGTCCCAGTTCCTTTACCGCCAGATTTTGCTCTTTTTGAAGATCCTACAGTGTATTGAACAGACATGAATGAATTAAACACAGTTTTGAAACATTCCTTACCTTCAGCTGTAGTGGGTGTCTTCATCTGCAAAGACAGCTAGCATTAACTGAACCACTTATTACGTGTATTATATCACTCCTTAAACACAACTGAATCACTGAATAGCACATATCACTTCTATACTCACTTTTGAATCACTGAATAGCACATATCACTTCAATACTCACTCCTTAAACATATCTGAATAGCTTTTTCCGTGTATATCACTTCTATAATTATCCTTTAGTCACTTTCGTAAGCGTCCACCATCAGAAAACCGCGCCATTACTGCGAAACTTGCTAGTCAGCTGTTGACAAGGTCAGCTCGATTAATCCCTGTGCAGAAATCGAGATTAGATGAGAGGTGGTGCCATCTAGTAGGTACTTTGCGAACTATGAGACCTAAGCATAAACGTTCATATGTGAGTATGGGAAATTAATAAAAAGGAATATAATAATTTAAATTAACTTTGAATGTATGTGACGATGTATCATGAAAATAACAAACGTCCTAATTGTCCTAGTCTTAATTAAAACGACGTTTCGGAGATTGGTGTGTGTTATCAGGTAAAACCTACTCTGTTGTGCTTAATCGGTTCCTGTCCTGTCCGAAACGTCGTTTTTAAATTAAAATTAGAACCGTGCATATTTCTTGTAAGTGATGTTGAGTTGTGTACCTACAATAATAATTATTGTGTAAAATGTTTCTCGGATCTCAGAGCTAAAACTACCGAAGTCCATTGTTCGAGCAACAATTGCATCAGCGCAAGAATGACCTAAGATGCAGCAATGGCCATGGGGCGCATTAGTGCGAAATGGACCTACGTGATGTGACATCAGGCAAACTTTTGTAACGTCACTGCACTTCAAAGAGGACGATAGACTTCTCCAATCTTGTTTCTCAAGTATTTGGTTTCTTGTTTTGGTTCAGCAACTGAATAGTTTGTGTTGAAAGCCAAAACGATTTTCATACAGAGATCTCACTCGGTAAATAGATTAAATCGCAATCAAGATTAAAAATGATCACGCCACGAGAGATGAAATTGTTCATTCAACAAAACGCGTTGCTATGGGAACTCAGCTGAGACTCCAGCATTCTTAGGCTGGATAACCAATGCTTTTTTTTTTTCGAAATATAGGCCTACATTGTCTCTGTTGTTGAGAAATCCACATCCCTCCGAGAAAAATGTTAATTACGAACATTCAAATCGGCGCTCTGACATCTCTCGGGTTTCAATTCCACATGACATCATCAGAAATCCTGCTCAGGTCGCAGGCTGTATTTTTTTTTTTTACAGTTTAATTTTCGTAATAAAATTAAATTTATTATTAAGGCTACTGACCGAAGAGATCCACATGACTACCATTTCTTTTTTTTCTAAATCGTGTAGCCACTGGAATCTCCCTACTTACGATACCACATTTATCTCTGTGACGTCGATCCGTTGTAACAGATTTGCGATGATCATCCCACGGCATTTTCGATGTATATCAGACAAGTAATCGCTCCAACTTCAATTTTAAATAATTATTTTAATTTGTTTAACTCTTCCCATGCTACGAACGTGATATCTCGGCCTCACTATTTCTGCGTGACAACATAGGCGGCGACAAGACGCCTGTGTCATTTCAATCTTGTTTATTCTGTTTATGTGTTAGTTCTGCGGTTGCTATGGTAACAAAAACAATGGTATATCAGCTTACGAAGAACACGAGCACCAAATGAACCGCGTATGGAGTGAAACTCCCAATCAATCAATCAATCAATCAGTCGTATGGTTACCGATCTAATGAGAGGCGGCTTACTTACGTTTCCGAAAAGAGACCCATCCGGACGGCATGTGCTGTTTGCCTTCGCACCAGAATCGAGCACGTCACACGACAGTCCCACCGAGCACTGCCTATCTTCTGATCCAAATCTGTTCATTCCTTAACCTTGGGCAGGGGTGGGAGGGGGAGGGGGAGAAGGCCTTTGTTTACGAATAAGTATGGACACATCATGTTGTGACACTGAGCGCTGAGGTACGTGTTACCGCTCACATAGCCGGCACTGATTCAGCGTCACCAAACAAAGTCCACGGAACCGCAACTCAGGTTGCTCTAAGCATTATCTCCATTCAATACCAATCCTGCCTTCTTCATTTCTTTTCTTTGAACACGATTTGTCATCTGCTTAGGTCTTTAGAGTTCATCCGAAAGCCGCGGGCTTGTGCTGGACTCCTGCTTTGTGTCTGGGAGTAACCGGGTTCAAACTCGTCCGGGGACCGTCCAATCCGATTGGTTTGTGGTTTTCCCCGCACAGTCCAATCCGATTGGTTTGTGGTTTTCCTATCACGCATTCTGGACAGGTGGCGAGGTTGTGCCTTAAATTAGGTCATGACCACTTCCTTCCTCATCCTTTCCTCTTCAGTGGCCAGAAATATCCGATATAATATTTTTCAAGGAAACGTAAATAATAAAATAAATAGGTTGCAATGATTCACAGGGAATTACCAAAGATGAACTTGAGTGCTGGGAATTTCTTGATGGAGGATATCGGCAACCCGCACGCCACCTCTGTCGAAACTCGCGGCGCCTTCCATCGTGGCCGTGGTTTTGACATTTACAATTAAGAAGACAGATGCAGAGTGTTTACCCTTCGCCATACGACGCCACGTTAAAACTTTTCATAAAAGTAGAAAGCTGTAGCTTCATCAGGTGTACAAGAACGCAGAAAATCGAAGTGTTAGAAGGCTCAAATATTATAGCCTAGTTACTTAATTTGTTCGGTTCAACGAACCCATTTTGTAGGTTGTGGTTGTTCGACCGCGTGATATTTTCGGTGTGTGTCAAACCAAAAGCCCAACACTTCGAAAAACGTGTCTGAACAGGTTGAGAAGTAATAATTGTGTAGATCCACATTACGTTTCTGTTTCTATTACGGTAAAGTTCTGTTGCCATGGCAAACAGACAAAGCGGTACTTCCCCCAACACACCTCATCCACGTGACACTCGTCCGGACCCGCGATTCTCCGCACTTGTGCATCGCGACTATTGGGACGACGGAGGATTTTCCGCAGGAGCGACTCGCGGTTTGTGCCCCACTTTTCAGCCCAAACAATAGTTTACAAATTCAATAATTATATACGTAGGTACATTAGCCCATATAACATCTTCCGGCGATGATATGTTAGGTTGTTGAACTGGCTCCTACCTTGACCGAGAGCAACTAGTGTGTACGGTTGGAAGAAACATGTAATCGGATGTCACCCTGGAGGGAAGTGTTTCTTTCCGAGAGTGTCCTAGTTTTTCTACCTGTCGTCATCACATGTAAACAGCGGCATTCATATTGATTCAGTAGCACGAGGTGCAAACTGACCTCCATGCCTGGCACATGTGTTGTCTGGCCCCAGAACAGCGGCCCCTCGCTTTGCCCGTTCGTCTCTAAGACGTACGGAACCAGTGATTTGTAGATGCCTTTCGTGAAGGTGATTAGGATGGGCGGGGAATTCAGCACGCATAGGAATGGAGAGGACTGAACGCAGAATCTTAGTCAGAATATACAGATAGAAAAGAGTGCTTGGGAGATCCAGGCGTTGGTGGGAGGATATTATTAAAATTGATTTGAAAGTATTTCAAATTGCCACATGTCAACAGTCGTAAAGCTAAATACAGTACCCGTCGGCCGCCAGGTGTCGTGTTTTTCTCACGCCACTCCATCAAGTCTTGTGTCCCTTGCGTAGGTTCGTCGAGAAACGGACACCGAGACACGCAAATCGGGTATATTAGTCATTTCGCGGTGGAATGTCCGATTCTCTCATCTGACAGCCATGTTATCTCCAAGTGCAAACAATGAGATCACCGCTTCTCCGGTGATCGCGTCATAGATACCACGCAAGTGGAAGGCCGACACGTCGTGACGTAAGTGCCACTCAGGTTAGACAATGGCTAATCACGTTGAGAGGGTATAATTTCTACGGTATGCGAAGATGTCTGTGTGGCGCCGTGTATTCTGATGGAAGTTCACCGACGTTTCCGGGCTATCAGGGCACGTCGGAGGTTCGCCGTTACATTAGGAATCAGTAACCCGTGTCGTCATTACACAGTTTGGTTGTGTCCTGAGCCACCTGCCTCCATCGTAACGTCTTATCTGAAGATACACTTTAATATTATCCTTCAATCTATGTCTAGTATCTCAAGTGCTCTCTACCGACAAGTGCTATAGTCATACAACACAATTTAGATGCACTATCTTTCTCTGAGAATGTCATTAATTTTTTTTTTTATTTTTGGGATGAAGCAGTGACGTCATATTTCGTGCTGCATGCATCGCCCATCCTATGCTCATTGATTTGAGGGTAAAAAATACAGGTTATGAAACATTATTCTCCGCTCAAATTCAGAAATGTTTATAAACTTGTTTGTGTCCGCTTAGAAAAAGTTGTCTTGTCTCCTTCTTTGGTGGATGATCTCGGCCGTGTGCCTTCAGTAGGATTCGACTCTAGGATCTCAGTGTTGGAGCGGACAAACATCAGGGGCTGTGGTCGGCTGTGTGCATGCACAAATCTCTCATTATCATTTGCTACACATATCTGCCCATCAGAGGGAAACAATCTTCTAATGGAGACGAGAATTATGAACGCAATGAAACCCGTTTAAGTATATTCATTTAGGGGAAGGCAGTTTCGCTCGAAAACATTCCACCCCCCCACCCCCACCCCTTAAGCTCTTTATTTTTAATTTGGTTAAGAGACCGAAGAATGGAGCGCACACCCTGATCGCCTCGCCGTTGCATGACGGAAAGCGTCGTTCTGTTCCGAAGAGGCCTTTGCTAACCATAGTTTGTGCAACAATATTTAAGAGAAATTATTTAAAATTGTATTATTTCGAAAAACTGACATTGTCAGCATTGTATATCGAATGCAAAATCTGACTAGTTATTCATTTATTATTGTTATTGCCGAGTTCTGAGTTCGATTCTTGGACCGAAGGCTGTGACGTATGAGGTTTTATTGTGGTTTTCTCCACGTAAATTCTGTGCTAATACCTTACTTAACCTCCATCCTTGTCTGTCTCTGTCCATCATTCGCAATTATCATCCGATTCTAAATCCTCTGAGCAGACTCCTATTTGGAAAGCTGATTGTGGCTTAGTTAATCAATAAATTTACGTCATTTTGGAATCCTGAGGTTCATTACCGTGTTCCCAAGTGCTCGCCACTGGTTTCTATTCTTAGCCAGTTGAATCCAGTCCACATCCTCACATCTTACTTCTTCAAGATTTACTTTAATTCCTAAATCGTCAGTTCTTTCACATTTTCGAACTGAAATTTTGTATACACTTCTTAGGTCTCCCATACAAATTAGTAAGCTCCTCATCGTGTATTCTTCTGCAGTATCTTGTGACTCCCTTCCACAGGGGCCTCTGAAACGTCGGTAAACTTTTACCAGACCCAGAAGACTCTAGAGGAGTGCGCATTTGCGCTCCGAAACGTGAGTTCAGTAAATTCGTCCCCGCTTTGAGTTCGATGTTTCTGGAACACCCTTCAGTTAATGCAGTCATCACTTAGCCTACGTCCCACTGTACGTCTGCGTACTTTTCTAGGGAACGCGCTGCAGTTTTCTCTTCATTTTTAACCTTGTTTCATCTCATTGTGTATTCACGACTTCTTGCTTCAATGGCCCTCTGGTGGGTTACAGGCGCAAGTCAGTGGTGCCACTGCACCCACAGGGATACAAACACATGAACATGGGCCTGACGTGGCGATACTGAAGGCGTACAGTATCTTCAAGGTCTGAGACAACGTCATATTCACGTACTGCGCTCCATATTCATAAACGAGTCCCTGGACACCGAGTCATGTCGGTATTACCATTGCATCTCATGTGAAAGAAACGTCACTGTGAGATTTTTGATCGCTATTCCCTGTAACTTGCTTGAAAGATTTTTGTGCTTCAGTGGTAAAAATATGGAATGTCGGGTTTAGTATTGTATATATCTGTAAGACTCGCGCCGGGCGCTGAGTTGTGTAAGATTTACATTTCCGAAGACTCAACGTTGATGTAATTTGTGATTATGATACTGGTGATTTAGCTGAGCCAAGGATCGGGGCTTCGCTGTGATTCAGTGATTATTAATAAGTATGGTGATGATACTTGTTTGACGTAGATTATCTGCATAATAAATTCATTATAAACTACAGCAATTAATTCATGTTTCCTCTCCTCAATGACGTCTCTACTTGAAGTCTTGTTATTTACGAGGCACGTATCAACAGCGATTATTTCCGAACTGTCCCGAAAATAACCGAACCGTGAAAGTGCGAGGATCGGCTATCGCGTGTATGTATGTAGCATTAACAAAATACATAGCCTTTACATAAACTATTGAAGGTTCCAGGTTCGCTCAAATGGTTAATTCTGAAAAAAAATGCCGAAGGGACCAGCCCCATAATGCGGAAGGACTCCCATGGGCCATTATTTTTTAAAATGTAGTTTAGATACTGTGTATAGACCGGCATTATTATAAATACCTACCTGAAATCTCAAACCGGTAATGTTTTCGGAATTTTCTGTATGGGAGGAATTGAGGTGGGGGAATACAGAATGAGTATGTGGGGAGGGGGCATCAGAAATACTGTGGTAGAATCTGATATTTGCTTAGGGTAGACGGGGGTGATTTGGGGGTGGGGAGTGGACTTTACTACAATGTTCACTGTTTACAGGCCACCAGCCAGATCAGGAAGTGACACATGTCAGACTCGACAGATCTCTAACGGGCAGCATCCGGTCCCTGGATACAGTTACTCCCCCTTGCCACCCCCTCACCTTCCATTCTCAATCCCCTCATCACTACGCCATCTCTTTTGTTTCCTATCTGGCTTGTCAGATGGCAGAGGATTATGTTATTATTGGAATTGCAAATTACATCAAGTCGGGTTCGGTTAGTCTAACACTCGCGGTAAACTAAAAAAAATGTACACGTTCTGGTCAGTAACGAGATTTAACAACGGAGAAGCCGTGACGTATTAGAAAGAAAGGTTAGTTTGCTAATTCAGCATCTACAGCAGTGCCGTGATCTGTCTGTGCACAAGAAAGAGTCACTTTGCCTTATGGGTCACACAAAACTCGCGATTTGTCGTTCGTGCGTGCGACATTCCCCAGATCTCGTCGCTCTCTCCCTAGAAAATGACGCGATATTGTCGGAACGAAATGCAAAATAAAATTCCCTGATGTGAAAATTATAGACAGCTAGATGTGATTTACGTATCTCCACAGAGGGAGAAGGAACAGGGCTTTTGTGACCGTGGTAATGAACCTTTGGGTTGTAAGACTTGAGGTTCTCACAGCGGTGAGTATGAAGATTTCTGTCTTCTGGGTTATTGCGCTGTGTAGTCTGGTCGATGTTAACCAACGTTTCAGAGGTCATACTGCCTCCGTCATCAGAGCGTCACCGCCCTGATGACGGAGGCAGTATGACCTCTGAAACGTTGGTTAACATCGACCAGACTACACAGCGCAATAACCCAGAAGACAGAAATCTTCAACCTTTGGGTTACATTCAAGAGGGAAGAGTATTTTGACTAGTTGAGCGACTATCAGCTTCCCAAAATGGACTCCACTCCATGGAGTTATTATTTAGAATTATTAAGAGAGAATTCTTATATTTATCGACAGTGTCGAGACTTGCTGGGACTTAGGAACGCATTCACTAGAAGAATCAGCGAACAAAAACAAATTGAAAACAGAAGCTCATAGATTTCCAACCCCTAGATTGGGGTTAGTAACTTATTGTTTCCATTCCCATCAACAAGCAACCGGCTGTGGGGGGTGGCACTATCAAATGTTTCCACTGGATTGGAGGTAAGCCGTCTAATCTGGGCTGTAACATAGGGCACGCAGCGTTATTAGCAACCAAAGCCATCACTCGTTTTAGCTTACTTGAGGCTTCAAGAATGAAGCGAGAAAGACGAATAAGGGCGAGAAATGGATGACTGAGCACAAGGCGAAATTCAAATAAAGTACGCAGTAGAGAGGATCCTTCCTTGTGTGGAACATAATTGGTTTTGTCCTCAAACACATTAGTGTTTTACCAGCAACAGGGTGTTTTAACTCTGTATGAGTGAGGGCGAGTTTTCCGCGTCCCTTCAAAGAGGGAGAAGGCGCGCGCACTGAACCAATCACTTGTTAATAACGATAGTAATAACAAAGAATATTGTTCTGCCAACAGAACTAATCGCAAAAGCAGTGCTGTACTCCCAATCTATATCTCTTATTTCAGCCTTCGACATATCCGGTTTCACGACAGTTCTCGTAATGAGAAACGTAACTTGGGAGCGCAGAAGCCCTGATTAGATGCATTGCACAGTGGACCGAGAAAGGCAGTGAGGTTGTTAATTGAATGTTTCAAACTATCAAAACATAATCATTCAAAATAAATCGATTAAAACACGTGTACTGTGAGCGAGTATCTTTGCCACGTACTATCACTGGTCACGGAGATGATGCTGGTATGAACGACCTTCAAGTTACCATGCGTTAGGCTCGGTCACCTGACATACTACGTCATCAGTCATGCCTCGTAGTGTGGTGCTGTGCGGTAATGGCTGACCGTCACGCTGTAAGTGAACCCAGGAATTTAGTTAGAACCAAATGTAAGTTACAAATTTGCATGCTTTACTACATTTAATCTGTGTTATTAATGTGTTATTGTTAACCGAGTGTAGCTGCCGAAATGTCGGGGTATTAAATTCGTGTTCTGTTTGTGAAAATAGTTCCCACGCTTCGTGCTAACGTAATGCCGGACGAGGGTTGTTCTGAAAGCCGTTTTATGTGCAGTTTCACCTCGTGGCAGACTTACAGAAACCATGCGAATTATTTTGAAGTTCTCTTACGTGCAATATAAGTCAACTGAACGTCACGTGTTATGCTAATATCTAGCTGCACAGCAAAGAAATGTTTCCAGAATGTTCTAGAATGTTCCATTGTGTGTCGACCGATTTTCAGCCGTGGAATTCCCGTGTCGATAATTTTCCATAATTAATAATCAACCAAGCAATAAGCGTTACGGGTTTAACTTATGTCACGTACTTGAATATTATAAAGTATAATTTTGGAATTTTACTGCATAAATCATTGTAGCTTGGTAAAAACTCGTTTGTTTTAATTCGTTTAAATTGTAAAATAATTTTTACGATAATTATCCATTTCTATGCAACATAACGCATTGGATTATGATAATATTTTTTATGAAATTCTCCTGTTATTTTATGATTTTTTTAAAAATATATTTAGTGGCATCTTTCGTACATTAATCCCGCTATAATGTAACTTTGGTCTAGAATATGAAACCCAAAAATTGACAGGATATTTCTGTTAATGGTGGGCAAGTAAGCAATAATCCAGTTTCTGGTTGGCAACGACAGAGCGAGGCACAGTGAAAGGTTGGTTGTGTGTTCCATTTGACTGGTACACATGCTATGTGACGTAGTCGATGTTTATGAAGCCTGATCATAACTACCTCTTTACCCAGACAAAATCACGTCGCCCCATTTACCGAGGGTAGCCTTGAAACACAAGTCGAACGTCGTGGCTTTGGGGTCACCACGGATTGACGTGTCTTCAGGCTGCAGATGAAGGGCACTGTCAATGTATTGAACGAGCAGTTCTGGACAGCCGACTATGGGTGTTCCCAGTAGTTGGAAAGAGAATTAATCGGTCCAATTTCAATGTTTGAGCATCTGGTGGGGGAAAGTAATGGTCGTTGACAAGCCGACGGGAGTCTATCTTTCCCATGGTCGTTGACAAGCCGACGGGAGTCTGTTTTTCCTGTTGACTCAAATCAGTCCACATCGCAGTAGCTGTGTCGAGGGAGCGGGTTCGAATCGGGGTTCTGCCTTCAAACGAAACTCTTGCACCTTGAAGCCGTGACTGATGGATGCCCCCCAATGCTCCTCTCGCCGTTTTGGTCGAGTGCAAGCCCGTCTTCGCCACACGCTCTCAGAGCGAGCGCCCTTTTGAAATCCGCCACCCGCGCTCCCAACCAACAGATGGTCGGCCGGCCGGCGAGATTGAAGGTCAGATCTGTGACGTCATAACTGTAACTTGATTCGTGAGGGTTGGGGCATCGCCTAAGCGATTGAGTCATATTTGTTTCTATTTTACGTGTCCTTTGGCTCGAAGATCTCGACATTCTCAGCTGAAGTTACAAAAATTACTTAAATAGGAGCTTTGTAGCTTGGGTGATTATGTCATTAAAGGGATGAGATTGGAAGGACGTGTAGCACGGTTGGGAATGGAATAATCGTATGGAAATCTGCCTGATGACAGAGGAAGGGTAACACTGAAGTGTAAGCAGACGGCTTTGTGTCCTGTGTTCGTTCTCTCGCGAAGACGATGAGAATTTACTATTTTTTCATTAATAAGCCTGAATTGCCGTCAACTCTTGAGTAAATTTTCTGTGCTGTGGAGTTAACTCGTAGTCTGTAACTAATGCGACACCTACAAGTAGAGACGTTCACTGATAAAAGTGGTATAGTTCAGAGTGAGTCGTCACAGAAGGAAGAAATGCTCGTAGGATTTTGGTGGGGAACTATGTACTAAGGGAAGGATAACGGAGAAAGATACAGACGTGCGAAGTTCGTCGCGTTTTCAGAGCTCCGTCGCGGTCCAAGACCGCGAGCTTCGTCCAGGTTTTATACTAAGAAAATAGAGGCATTTGTCATTAAAGCGCTTTTTAATAATGTACATCGATATTTTAATAAACTTTTAAGAAAACACTTAGCTTAACAAACAGAATGATAATTCCCGCAATAGCGAGCAGTAAATTACATAAGAGTTCGACAGCGTTAATAATATAACAATTGAATGTCAGAATTTCTACATAAATGAAGAACAGACGAGATGAGAAAAACCAGCCTTGTAGGAATAAGAACCAAGCTCTAAGTGTCATAAATGGTAATTTATCGCATTTATGCAGTTAATAATCGGAATAAAACATTGTTTTTTTCTTCTAGAGAAGCCAACAACAGCTTCTTCGGGTGAAACAGAACGAATCTTGGAACGTTATTTCGAAAATAGAATTTTAAGATTTTTATTCGAAGACAAAGAATGCTATACGTTTTATTACAACAGAATAGAAAAAATCATTGCTGTATATTCGATGTTTGCCCAAGTGATGAAAAACAGCTTAAAACGTCTTATAATCTGTTGTGTACAAAAGGATTTGAAGCCCGTTGATTGAGACAGGCGCTGGTCTAATACTTGGTATATCTGGATGTTGTAAAATCGGAATATTAGAAGAATATCTTAATATCGTATACATGTTACTGTATTGTGTCGCTCCCTTCCGAGGTCCATGGAGCATTCGGACAAAGTAGTTGCATTTTTATGTCTATATATTTATATTTATATGTTTACGTTCTCAAAAAGACACAAACGATCACTTCAATTCCACGAGAAGTAGGTACAATCTAAATAAACGTATATCTATTGGTTATGTATGTACAGTAAGGTGGAGTAATCGTTTTTACATTTTTTCCTGGAAATTATGGTACAAGACGGAAAATTAGAGAATATTCTTATATTTATATGGGTCTGATATCGAGATTATAAAAAAAGTGATATCTTCACAGTTCGCTCCGTGGAATGTTTTCATTCACTGTCTGTACACTGAATTCTTCACCACTTAGCATCTTGATCGCTTTAAGTTATTCACAAATTGTACAAAACTATCTTGTTATATATGTATAAGGAAGTTTTGCCTTCGTGTTCAACATTACGTGTTTGTTTCTCCCACAAGGCAGCGATATGTATCGATGTATTATAGGCCACAAAACAAACGATTCTTTTGACATTAAGGTATAATTAGTGGAGCCCAGGTTCGCCGAAGAGTTTACAGTTGGTATCACGAAGTTTTTAAGTTTAGTGACCTTTCAGTATAAAAAAATCAATGGAATGCATCGCATTTTGTTCATCTGTCTGGGATATGCATGATATTCTGAAATTGCAGCGAATTAACCCTTTGAAACCGAACCATGTCTAAATAATATTTCAAGAAACCAGTCCGTACCGCAAAGAAAACTCCACACTTCACTATTACGAAGATTAACGGTGTTTAAGGATATAATCGGGTGTTTTCACAGGGAATTATACAAGATTTATAAGTAAAAAATACACAGTTACTGACTTTTGAAGCTTGTGGTACACATAATTACCGCTGGGCTTTAAAGGGTTAGATTCAGTTGTGAAGATGGGGACATTTGTTCCAGGCATTTGTAATCGACTGAAAGTATATTTATTCATTATGTAGCTCGTTCGAACGCACGCACAGACACACACGAAGATCGATGCGTATTTAAGACAACCTCACCTTTCCCTGTCTTAATACCAGTTAATTTTTACAGATGATGATTACGTTGTAATTCCTTACGTTGGTTTCGAATTGATTCAGGAGCTCATGATGATGATGCTGGTGGTTATGTATCTGATGAGAATTTCTTCTTACACTCACATTGCACTCCCCCATTGTTAGATATTGTATTTACGTCTACGAATACAGCGCCTCCTCGTGTTACTTGCCGGAAGTAAGTAAAGGACTCGTTCCGTACGTTTGAGAATTACACGTCGGCAGGGCGAAAGGGTTCATCGTTGCAAAGGGGGATGACACAAGGCTTCCAACTCCTGAAAGAGAAATATATTTCTGTTAGTCTTTCAACAAGTTTTCTTTATTTCTCACACCCGTGTAAATTCTTCTTTTCTGTAACCTGTTCTGAAAAAGTTTGAATGGCTGTCGTCTGGGTTGTGGCGGAATGTAGTCCAGTAGAAATCTACCGACGTTTCAGAAGACTCTGTTGCCTGCATTAGTTCGCCCTGATGATAGAGGCAGCAAGGACTTCTGCCAGACTGCACGGTGCTACAACCCAGCAGACTGCCATATTCGTACTCATCGCAGAGAGAATATCAAATTCTGTCTGACTGTAATTGAAAATCTTGTAACCGCGGAGGAAAATAAAGTACAAGACCAAACAACATTTTATTAAATTCGTGATTAATTTTCTGGTGCGAGCAGTTTTTTTATGTATGGTCATTTACAGGAATAAAAGATTAGACTGAGGGGATATTTTTCGTGGGGAGGGAACCTTGGATAAAATTCCCAGAGGAGTTCGAGAATGTGATCGGTAATAGACACTTGATCATTTCAACCACTTAACTATTTGAAGAGCACAGGTTATATATAAACGCCCTCGTTATGTAATTTTCCCCATGTATATTTTAGTTCATCTCTCTCAGATCCAAATGTTGTTCTCATCTTGGTACATTACATTCTATTTCAAAACGTTCAGTGGTGGTCATGGCGTTTAAAATTCAAAGACGAGGCTAATATCTGCGTTAAAGTCTAAGTAATGTCAGTGCAGGTTTTGGATTTATTTCAAGAGATGTCCACACCGAAATTCTGCACGCATTTTTGTTTACTCCTTCCCCCATACCCAACCTATTTAATTTATTTTGTCGGGCGTCGATTGGAATGTGGCGTCTGAAAATAGACGAGAATTTTGTCTTACTTGATGAAGAATTGAATATCCCCGACGTGGCGGGGGAACCTGGGACGCCCATGTTAGTAAGTTGCGAGACCCCAACGCCCGGAGCTGCAGATCCGTTGCCAGTTCCCGCCGTCGGCGTCGAAGTACTGTAGCTACCGTTCATCGTGACGCCATTGGACGCCCCCGTCACATACGAACCGCCGCCATTAGAAGAGTGAGGCGTCGAGGCGCTGGAGCCGTAGCCACCTCGCGGAGAGACGCTACTACTCTGTGCCCGTCCGTACTCCTCTAGAAGAAAAACCCTACCAGTAAGACAAACAGAAGGAAGTTACTGACATGGGAGTGGATACTGAAACAGCGAAACAGCGAAACATCGGAGGGAATCCAGGGTCATTTGTTTCTGTATTTTTTAGCATCGACAATTCAGAGGAGTGTTCCTCTCTATCTCTGTTCTTCGTGTACCCAAAACACTAAAATCAACAGCAGTGATGTTGGAGACCGCAGCGGCCAAATCTGCGGACCGTCGCGGCTAATCCATCGGTCAGGGAAGTTTTTATTCAGGCACTTCTTCATGCGGAGGGGGTTTGCCCCTTTGTGTTAGAAGTACATCTGTAATCGTGTTTTATGCATGTTCAAATCGATATATCTTTAAAATTTACGTCATTAGATCTTGGGGTCTTCTGACAGGCAAGATTCCGATCTGACCCAGAATTTAACCTGTTCTTAAGAGTTTCAAAATCAAAACAGTGCTGATCCGTAAAGCTCTGTAGGTACTATTTTTCATGTGTGGTCGTAAAGGCGGAAGGATATGCACCTTCAGTCCACTGACCGTTTCCGTTCTCCTGCACGCTGACTGCCAGCTGACCCGTGTACGTATTGAAGCCAGAAGACATCCCGTTGTTGGTCATTGTAGGGGAGCGTGGGGCTGATAGTGCCAGCTGATTATTACGTGGCATACTGTACAAGGCTTCCGCTAGGTCCGCCGCTCGCTTCAGGATGATTTCCTGCACGTCAGAGAGCAAGTTTTGTTATAAATGTGTTATGGAGGATCTAGAGTGGCAAAAGATCGTGCTCTTATTGGCCTTGGGATGGTAAACTTTAATGTATTGGGTGTTAAGAAGAGATGTGGTATCTCGCCGAGAGGAAGAAACTAGGATGACAGGTTGTGAATCCGGGAGGTGGGTGGGACCGACTCGAATGCTGTACAACAGCAGGGAGTGAATTTTGTGTTGATCTGCCACTCGTGATGGATCATGTGAGAGGAACCGGAAATGATGCAGGAAAAAGCTACCATGGCTTATCTCAGGGTTAAAATTATACAAGCATTTTACTGAGAGGAGCTGAGGAAGATCATGAAAATCGTCTGTCGAGGAAACCGTCGTTCCGACCGGAATTCGAACCGGACATCTTCCAAATACAAGTCACAACCATTTTCCAAGGCGCTTCAAAATTTCCCTGAAAACTCCGTGCTTATAATTGAATAAATATTGTTTCTTTCTTATTGCTTATTTTATGACATTTTTACCAACTGATGACGTTATATAGTGTAGAATGAGACTTTATAAGACAATTGTGTGTGATGAATCGGCAGGTATGTGAAAGGAGGTAGCTGTCATCTGTTTAAAGCAACGCCCATTTTTTTAGCCAGGAGTGTCTGGTATAAATCATAGAATATCAAGCATCATTGCCTGTATCTCCAGAGTCTGAGATGAAACTCTTATCGAAGACCTAAACTGCTCGATTTCAGTAATTACACAGACCATACGGGCCCTGAGAATGCAGTAACGAGGAGATAGCCTATTTCTTATTATTACTATTTAAAACGTTAATTAATCAGCAGAGTGAACATTTTGTTCTGCATATTCATCGTTTCTTCTTTTTCCATCTGCTGTTTCGGTAGATACAAATTAATCTGGAAGGAGGGGGAGGGGAGGAAGATAATTGTAGTATCTGTAGAATTTCTCAACCGAAAGACAAGTGGAAACGAAAACCTTTTTCACAGTCAGCTCCTCTCACTTTTTTGAAGTAAATGCGGTGCTGCCCGCGGATGATGGCCTAACGACTTGTCTTTTCTACCGGGTATTCTCAGGGCCATGTTCGCTTTGCATTGACTGTTGCTGTCTAGTGGTTAGCATTCCTGATCCATGTTCTGGAAGTTCTGTGTTCCGACGTCGGACTGGTTTCCCTTCAGGCATATGACTTAAATTAGGCCACGACGTCTTCCTTTAAAATCTCTTTCAGTTCATTATTCACTAATCGTGTAACCTAACCTAACCTGAGCCTTCGATATCGTCATTTATTAAAGCGAGAATTAATTCAAGCTTTTCTGTTATCATCGTTAATATTATCTGTTCTTCTTACCATTACTAATTACAGTAATGTAATCTGCGTGTGCTGTGTAAAGTAATGAAGTCCGGATATCTGATTACCTTTGGAAGCTTCTCCGGGTCTCCGGGGTGCCGAGGAATCAGTTTCTGGAGGCGCTGGAACCCGTAGTCTATTGTAGGCTCATTCAACGCTGGAACAAAAGAGTCAGTCGTGCTTTTCATTCGAGCTATTTTTTTAATTGCTTAGTACATCTCAAGATGAATCAAGAATTTAGCGTAGAACTGTTTCTGAACGTCACGTGTACCAGAATCGCTTGCACAAGAACAGACTTGAAACAAATGATGTTTTCTTGTCAGGGATCTGATTGGTTGGTAATTTTATTATTTTATACTGCTGTAACAGCTGCTGAGGCTATTTCCATTGAATGTGAGTCATGATATTTAGTGAAAAGCTATCATCTAACTTGAAGTGACCTGGTATCCCTACAGTTTGCTCTTACTGTGAGGCTGTCTCACGAATTCCATGTGTCCTAAAGCAAATCACTTTGGAAAATATTTGGTCTATGAGAAGCTGTTAACTTTCCATGGGTGTGTGATAATCCAATGTTGACAGGTCATAGTCGCCTATATTGTGGCGACGTACATGCATACATACTTACATACGTAGACGAAGCGTCCTGGCGCTCCCTTACAAAATTGCTTGGACTTGTAAGAAAGCGTCACTTCTACTACGCCGGGGATGTGCCTCGGCGGGGTTTGAACTCGTATCGCGTGTGATGTGATGAGCTAGACAGACAGAAGTACTGAGTCAGTAAAGGGCCATTTACTCGTCTCTCGAAACACTGCAGACTCTGACAACGTTCGTGAGAAATGGTCCATACTTTGTCTCAGAAATTTATCTCAAGAGCAAATTCGCCCGATTTTTCAGGCTGGACCCAATTTGATCCCCCCCAAACGGGATGCAGTTTTAATTACTCTGATGTAATTATGGCATGCGTGTCACTGTGTTTTAATTCTGCATAATTACCTCACTCCAGACTAACATGGTGCCGAAGACAACTTGGAGACCGTCGAAGAAGTTGTCCCCGATGATGATGACCGTGGATCCTCCTGATGTCCACCCCTCGCTCGGACTGATTGCCTTGATGCACGGTGTCGCTACGGGAAGGGGAGGGTACAAGCCTATGTGAGACAGGGGTGTACGAGACATCAGAGCGGCGTTCTCAGGTAGGACAAACACAAACATATTTAGATAATGTTGCATTCAGTGTTGGTGCGTCTGTGAAACAGCAGCCCATGTGTGAGACTTGCTGGTTTGAAATCACACGTCAAGGAAGATTTGTGTACATGTAAAGTGCAACTTGCTTAGAAATATTATGATTATTCAGCATCGGAAAGAAAACGAAGCGAGTTTTTGATACTTAATTTTTATTCTTGATCGGAGCCAAAGGAGGCCATTACGTACAGCCAAGCACTGTAACAGAAATCCACTATCAAATTTTCTGATGAAATCGACAGTTTAAGCAAGCGATCAAATATTAACAGTAAAGTGTATGAAATGAAACCTAATGGATAATGCTAATGATTTTATCTCTTTCGTGGCAACAAAGAAATTTATCTGAAGGGGTCGATGTGGCCAAGAATTCCCGCGATGCTCCAGCACGTTCACGCGTTCAGTTTGATGAACTGCTAGAGATCCCTTCGTTGAGGCGTAGGCGTGGCGTGGCGGCGTGAGGCGGGATTAAGCGCAGGATAAGAGACTGTCGGAGAGGTCGCACTTGTCGTTACTCATGTCTCAAAAGAATACCCCGAAACGCCGAAGTTACATGAGGAATATTAGCTTAAAAAAATCATTTATCGGAACTGTGTCGTTGAAACTGATGCATATTCTATGAAATGATTTCGGAAGCTGGCTGTGCTTACTTCGTCAGGAGAAGGTGCAAACATTATCTGTTGGGTTCAATGCATAAAGCTGACGTCATTTCCTCGACTGGTGTGCACGGACAAGCTGAGCGTTTCGTTGCTGTTCAGTGCGAAGAGCCAGAAACACGCCTCGGTGCGTGTCCTTACGATATATCATCAATATAGACAGCTCACCGTTCGTCCTTTCTTGTTTCCTAGGTAACCGTCGGACATAGAATATGGAGGGGACGGAGTTTTTGGAATAAAAAATAACATAACGGAGCCGGTCTTAAATCAGGATCTCGTGGGGAGCCAAAGACGGAGGAAAGTCAAACCTAGTCTTTTTTCCCCACGTGTCTATGAAGCGAGGAATACTAGTCTTGCAACAAACATCAGGCCGGAGACAGTATTCGTCATTCTGAAGCAAAGCAAACCATTTCGTAGATCTAGCTGCAAATGGGAAAATACCAGTGCGTTGTTATTAGGTACGTACACGCTACTCTGTAAGCTTTGCCGCGTTTAAAATCCAATCACTGATTTTTAGTCGTCTAGAGCAGTTTTACGAGAGTAAGAAACATCTACTTCAAGGGCTATATTCGTTAAGGGCCCAAACGAAGTCTGCGTATTTTTTGAGTCCTTGAAGGATTTTGATGATATTAACGCGTGAGATTTTCATTAATTTAAACCAGTTTTAATGCCCCCGTTTCGTATTCGCCTTACTTGATCGCAGGTCGCGAAGGTCCCATGAGAATGTAAGCTCTGGGTATCCTTAAAACACAAATTGCGCCTTATACAGTTTTTGCACAAACTGTTGCCCCAGTCGGCATCGCGTTCACTCCTCTGCCATTTTTTGTTCTAGTTTGTAACAAAACGTCTGTAATCGAATAATTACTGTAACCTGAAACTGGATGACACGTTTCTCTTGGAATCAGATTCGGAATTCAGCACCGTACATTACGAACAGAAGCAATAATTTAAGAATGGATTGACACCCCTGACAAATAAAGGCGATGCGTGGGTCCCTATCTCGTAGACACACGTTCTGTATGTGACGTCATAGGGGTCACGAAATGGGTGGGGCGGGGGGTAGGAGTCCGTCGGCTAACGGAAGGAAATAAGTTGAATCAGCAAAAAGAATGAAAAAAGTGGAAGGAAGTTATATCAGGAAGAAGGACCGGGATCAATAGGAATGTTGCCAGAAAAAGCAATTTCAGGTGGGGTGGTCAGGAGGCTGTTGTCAAATAGGGAGACTTTAAAGCAATCGCCGGTAATAACTTCAGATTTCATGAAAGTTACACGAGAAGGTCAACATGGACACTTTTCGGTTCCGAAGGCTTTCTGACGGTCGTCCGTCCGGCCCCCCCCCCCCACTTATAGTTCCTGGGCTTATGGGATTTGTTCCGTCGTCTCATATTCCTCCAGCACGTACCAACTTTCTGAACGTGGAACGTAGCATACAAACACGAAAGGCTTGCCTTCACAAACTTCGACAGTTGATACGTTTACCAGAACAAGCAATGTGTGAGGGGTGTGGGGGGTGAGATTGCAAAACCTGGGCCTGCGCACGAGAAACTGTGCTCTGAAGTGCGATTTGTATGGCACAAGATGAACTTCTGTACCGAACGAGTAGGATATTTTCATTTGTCCACAGAGCGTGGGTGTGGGAATTTTAGTGCCTGCGTTCGCCTGTAATTAATGAATTTTGTTATTTCTGGAAACTACAGGTATTGTTACATACTTCTAAATGTGTAGTTGTAATAGACCGGCATTGTTTCAGTTTCCTAGTAATTGCAAAATTTTACTTCAAACTTGAGAGAGTGAATTATGTATTAAATGGCATGGTATTGTTAATGTAATTAACACGGTTACAAATGTTGCCACCATGGCAAATTGTCCCCACAGGGCAACGTATTGTATTACTACAGAGGATTTTTATTTCATTTTTAGATACACTCCATTTCGTTGTTTTGATTTTCTTTTAATTTTTAAACACCAATTACGTTCGTGCCATACGAGGTACAGTCACGTATAGAAGCAGAAAAACAGGTGCATACTAAATGATAGCGAATGTGACGGGGGAATTGTTTATTGTCTTCTCGCTGTTGCTCCAGCGTTAAATGGAACCGAGTCCGTTGCCAACTTGACAACAAAACATGAATTGATGATGACAAGCGCAGAGGTGACCGGGGAATTTTTAAACAAAACCAGATTTGAATTTTTAAATTAACAACGAAAATTGTAATCAAAATATTCCTTACCTGTGAAATAGAATTTCAGTACTACCAAACAAGGAATGATTATTTTACCGGGTTATTTCAGCGAGGATATTTTTTTTGACTGTCTGGCCTGAGGCTACTCTAAGATTTTCAAGAAGAACCTTGCCCCATGCCAGACAATACGAATGATAGAGGACATTAGCGTCAGATGAATATTTGAAAAGAAATAGCACGTGTTGAATTCATCTGGCTCAAAATCTCCGGAACTTCAACGAGACGCGATAATTCTCCGGGTGGATGACCACAAACTGGGGCGGGGGGTAGGCTGTGGATATGTTTTAAGTTACGTCAATAGAGTTCTGAGGGCAGAATTGACGCGTCTGTCTGCAGTGGGATCCTTCAGTCTTGATGATAGAACCTCGCATTAAACCCATTCCTGAGAGAGCGTTCCTTAAAACGTTATATCCTGACATTTGCTGATTCTGTTTTCAAAATCTCCGGCCCCTAAAAGCTGATAAATCCGTCATTAGCCTCAAGATTGAGATGTTGTGTCACCCGCATTTAAATAAGTGTGACGACGTCTTTAAACACTGTGAGGTCTGCTAGTAACGTTGCTTAGCGTCTGGAATGAAGAGGCTTCGGCCTTCTTTCCCTAGAAGAGCGCACCAATCAGATTGTAGTTGGTGAAGTTAATCAGTTTTGGGGGTCGGCAAAAATAAGAAGGGAGCTCGGGGATGGGGATGGGGTGGGGATTAAACCGCGCCACGGGAGGTGGCGCACGCGACGACGTTGCGCCGAGTCGCCGAGCAGAAAATCACCCTGAAGACGCCGGATGCAACGAAGCGACTTCTCAATTACTCTGCCTCCCCCCTCCGTCCCCCCCTCCACCCCTCTGTAGCCACTGCGTCGTGTCTTTTATTTTTTTATACTGATGTTGACTTTTCAGGGCGATAGAACGCATTTTGAATCGAATTATTACAAAAAGCTTCTCATAAACTCTACTCAGTGAAGTTACCCCCCCCTCCAGTTAGATTCCGAAGGATTATACATTGCTGGAAGTTGGCCGTGTTCTGGGTTGCGTAGGACCGTGTAGACTCGTAGACGTTTACCGGTTGTGCGTAGACTTCTGCCAGACTACACGGTGCTACAAGCCAGAGGACGGAAGCCTTCCTTGTGTAATCGGTTTTTAACCAGACGTCTGATATTCAGTTTTAAAATTAGCTGCAGAACGAATTAAATTAGATTCTTATCTTATCTTTTTCTTCAATTTTGAAGAGAAGACACTTTATACAACTGCAGATAGAACGCAACATCATGTTCGTGGGTGTGTGTTCCAGCCGCCATGTTGTTTAATTACGTTCTAGTAAAAATGCCACCCGGAATAGGCCATGAGCCGTGGGTCTGGTTTGCTGTAGAAAGTGGATAAGTAGAAACGAGGACGAGGGGAGAAAACGGAAGAGGAAGAAGGAAGAATGAAGTGGGTTGATGGCATGAAGCAGAACTGGGGGCTGGGGGTCCTCAGCCAACTAATCGGCCCGTGACGAAATTAGGCATTTTAAATGGCACTCTCGCCGATTCTTACGTGTTTTATTCGTTCTTCTTTGTTTTTATTATCTGCTCTCTCAACCCACACTTCGTTGCCTCCCCCTCCCTTCCACTGCTCTTATCTTTAACTTCTGTCCGGGTAACGGAACAAACAGGCGCCAAGTTTCTACTTTTTCGGGCCGTTCTCTCAGTCCGAAGTGAGGGAGTCGATGGGCAATGCAGACGCAGTTGAACTCTGTCCACTTGCTAAGACCCAATTCAACGCATTTCTCATTTGCTGTCATGCGTGCTACATGACACGCCGATCTTATACTCCTTGATTTGATTGCTCTAATATTGTTCGTTGAAGAGTGGGTGTTATGAAGTCCTGTATCTTTTTTGTACTGAGACAGACGAGACAGAGTGTCGCTTAACCGAGACCCGTGTCAGCTTCTGCCACGCCATTAGAATAATGGATCGCGTCTGCAGCGCGAGATAGAACAAGGAAACACCATCTTATTTTATTATGTAATTACACGCTCCAAATATTAATAGCCCTCATGCAAGGCAAGATTTCAGTGTAAT